TCACAGATTTAATTTTCATCTACCGTCATACACTTTCCGGATGAAGGAACCCTCGAATCAAGGGAAAGACCTAACGAACTTTATTGACATGTGAGTGCATGAATCAAACCCAAGACCACAGAGGTGAGAGGCGAGTGTACTACCACTACACCACCCACGATTTCCAACTTTGTAGAGAGCTTGACAAATGAAGTAGCCAAATCATCAGAAGAATTTTCATGACGAAAGCCGGCGCTCGATGGAATAAGAATTTAGATGTTTTTYCCCCGTCTTTTTACCATCCTGACTTCTTGCGTTCTGTTTGTTTGAGGTTGTGTACTTCACTGCTGTGTTTCCATACGTAGTCCTCGTCATTTTGTTTTTCCGTGGAGTTACACTGGAAGGWGCTGCAAGCGGGGTTCTGTTCTACACTACCCCTGATTTTCACAAGCTCAAAAACCCAGAGGTAACCATATATAGTTATGCATGAACATCATATCTATATTTWAAAATGCGCCTATACTATACTTACATCCTTTATCGATAAGATTTTTTGATTCTCTCTGCCTTTTTTTKGTTTTGTTTTTGTTTTGTTTTTGTTTTTGTTTTTGTTTAGTCACAAACGACTAATGATCCCCTCAAGGATCTGTATTTGGGCTCTCAACGTTTTATAGTTTGGGTGCAATTTCCCCCAGAATTTTCGTCACGAACGAAAGGATTCCCTCAAGGATCTATTTTTTTTCTTCAGCCTTCACTACATAGCGCGCAATTTYTTTGTCACAGACAAAGGATTTCCTCAAAGATCTATATTATATCTTTTCTCTTCTTGATTAATTTGGGTGCAATCTCATAAGGAATTGATACTTGGTCAAAGGGCAAAAGAATTACGCACAAATGACGCAAACCTCAAGCTATAGGTCTATTGAGAACAGAGGAAGACGTCTGAATGTCTAACATTAATCCAATATATGCATGCATATAACTAGCTATGGCTCTATGTTTTCAGGTTTGGGTTCGCGCCGCTACCCAGATATTCTACTCCCTCGGTATTGGATTTGGTTCGCTTACTACGTTTGGTAGTTACAACAACTTTCATAACAAAGTTGAGAAGTAAGGAACGAGTGCAAAACAATTCTAAGGATCAGGTCAAACGTTGAACTTCACATGAGCCGAACCTAATTGAGACAATGGATAACAAGGCGGTCTTCTTTGATGTTATTGGGCTTGGCTCATGCACACATACACACAGAATTGTTGTCGGGTTCAGAAACATAGAGCATAAAAGCTGAGACCGACATGGCACATGGGAAATGACATHATTATATTATGATTTATTCATTTTCGCCATCCATGCAGTCGGTTTAGAATGCCAAACGCGTATTAAAAACAGTGGATGATGCCACGGGTCGCCGGTCACAGCATGCATCTAATTAACGTACTTCCCATGTGCCATTTCGGTCTCAGCTTCTATGTTCTGTTTCTGAACCCGACAACAATTCTTCAATTGAGTGTATACCATGCACTTTGTAGTTCTCAGTACTATGTGTGGAATAATACAATAGGATACTTGCATTATGACGTCATTTACTACCACTACAACACTCTCTTGAAAACTTTCTTTTGTTTAATTGATTAGCACCAATTGTCTTACTATTCTCATGAAGGAATACAATTTTTATTAAGAAAGAAAATTCCCCAAGCACTTTGACAATGGTAGTAAAATGACGCCATCATTCAAATGACCTATTTTCCAGGCAAAGTCAGGTTACATTGTCCCAAAACGTTTTCAAGGACACGTGTCTATTGAATGTCATGGAAACGCCTTGATTGACGTCGGTAAAAATCTTCTTCGTGGAAGAAAAATTATTGATTAATTAATTAAATTAAAGCTTGATTTTTCGTTCAACAGAGATGCTATAATAGTGTGTCTAATCAACTGTGGCACAAGTTTCTTTGCTGGATTTGTCATCTTCAGTGTCATGGGTTTCATGGCGTTCACACTGGGAACATCCATAGATAAAGTAGTTGATAGCGGTGAGTAACGTGTCGTTCAACATGTCAATATATCTTTGTACACCATATGTAAAGTAATTTTTTCCCTTGGTATTTTTCAGGACCGGGACTTGCTTTCGTAGCGTATCCTGAAGCCATATCTCAGATGCCTGTGTCAACCTTATGGGCAATCTTGTTCTTCTTCATGTTGATCACTCTTGGTCTTGACAGCCAGGTATAACAGTGATCAAAAGCATGTAAAAAAGGATTGAAAGATTATACTTATTTATTGATCTCACAATAGTCCCCTTCACAGTTCCCTGCGCTATCTTGAAAGGTAGCCGTGCCTTTGCATCGAAGCGAGACGAACGGTGAGCTTGCAATGATAGAGACATGTGAATAATTGCCAGTCCAAGGTGTTAAAAAAGGTCTCTATCATTGCAAGCTCACCGTTCGTCTCGCTTCGATGCAAAGGCACGGCTACCTTTCAAGATGGCGCAGGGAACTATGAAGGGGACTATTGTGGTAGTATTCATCAGGTGTAGACTTAGTTAAAATGTCCATCATTATTATCATCACACAACCATGTCATTTCCACTATCACCATCGTCATTATCATCACCACCATCATCACCATCGTCATCGTCACCAACATCATCACCATCACCACCACCATCGTCATCATCATCACCAACACCACCGTCACCGTCACTATGCGCCATCATCATCATAATTACACCACCACCACCACCACCATCGTCATCATCATCACCACCACCATCTGCATCATCATCACCAACACCACCGTCACCGTCACTATGCACCATCATCATCATAATCACACCACCACCACCATCTTCGCGATACTTATGATTTATTACTACATACAGTTTGGTATGGTTGAATGTGTGATCACAGGACTCTCAGATGAATATCCCAAGTATCTCCGAAAATACAAATGGCTTCTTCTTATCTTCATATGTGCTGTGATGTTTCTTCTTGCTCTACCGTTGTGTACAGAGGTAATTGATAAAACTACATCTAGATTAATTAAACTTGATCCACGGAGCCTGATTCCTGTTACTGATTAGAGGCCTACGATTAGTGCTAGCCTTCCACAGAGCTAGAGCTAGAGTGAGAGACAGCCCGTCAATATCGCACACCCCCCTTTTAGAAATAAAACTACTATAACTGGACTTACGTATGACTATAACCATGAGAAAATGAACTAAGAGAAGGAATCTCTGGTATTCATGCTTGTAACCATCATAGGCACTGTTTGATGCTATTTTTAGAATCCTATTTGCCATTGTTTGTTTTTCTGCACTCGCATACGCTACGTTTTTTTTGAAAAACGCATGAAAACATGAAAAAACGGCATAGAGTGCCTGCATGCAGTACGCGCGTGCAGAAAAATAAATGGTAAATAAGTGATTCTAAAAATAGCATCAACGATTCCTTTTCTTAGCTTAGTTCATTTTCTCTTGCTAACATATTATATATATTATATATATATCTTCTATATTATATATCTTCAGGGTGGCATGTACGTGTTCAACCTTATGGATTACCAATCGGGAGGAGTATCTCTTTTGGTCGTCGGATTTTGTGAAACTGTAGTCGTTGGATGGATTGTCGGTAATGACAGCAGCAGTGGTTTTCATAGCAGGGGTGCTCTGACTCTTTTGAGGAAGTGATGGAAAATCAGTTATTTATTCATATCTTTGACAGTTTACTATGAATGTTTCCCAAATTTGGCTCGTAGTAGTAATTCTTCAAGGCAAGCAATTACCGCATATCTGTTACCATGGAAACCAGGTCACGTGACCACAAGACCGCCATCTTGGATTTTTWAAAAAATCGTTTGTAATCGTRTTGAAACTACTTCAAAAGTCCTGAAAATCCATATTTCTTTTGATATTTACAATACCTATATGGATCTAATTGGATATCTTGGAAATTATATTAAGTTTAATTTTTAGAATATTTTTAAGTTTTTGGAAAAAATAGAAAATATTCTAAAAATTAAACTTAAAATAATTTCCAAGATATCCAATTAGATCCATATAGGCATTGTAAATATGAATAGTAATCTGCATTTTCATGACTTTTAAAGATGTTTCGGTACGTTTACAAACGGCTTGTTTAAAMATCCAAGATGGCGGCCTTGTGGTCACGTGACTTAGTTTYCATGGTAACCAAGGCTCTAAGGTTCCTTCTTTTCACAAAAGACATTAACTTGCCAAGTTTGGGGAAGATTCGTAGAAAACTGGCTATGATATAGCTAATCAGTTTTTCATCTGAGAGCCATGCCTTAATGATGCTGAGTGGATCAAGGTTCATAGGGCGCCCGTAAGGCCCACAGCCCCCATCCTATATCTATATGCTTGTACAATTTTTCCAATGCGTGGTACTCAAACAGTACTAAAACAGCATATTTGAGAATGCATCACCTAGATCTATCCCTGCATATGAATGAATTTCATTTTATTAAAGTCACATAAATGCATATTGCACGTCATGACACTGGTCACAAATTAGCCATTCCGAGCCTTGAGGGGGGAGGGGGGGGGGAGGGAGGAAAATGGCTGGTTTGAATAATGTATTCTAGTCCGTCAGCCGACCTTTGGTCTTAACAGAAATCAAATAAATCAAGAAGTTATTTAAAAAGAAATGTATAACGCGATGTTTAGTGTTTGACGTCACAGACTCTCATAAACATTCGTAAAAATATAACACTTCCAATAGCGCAGCGCATCCGTGATGTCATAAAAACGAAGACAAAGGCGAAATTCGGACAAACAAACTTACAAGTTTACTTTCAGCAGATAATTTTCACAGCCGATCGCARTTGATCTTAGTTTACATGAGTTATTATTGTAACTTTAAGTAAAAATAATAAAATCGGTTCGTATAATCCTCGTAGCGGTTAAACAGAAAGCGATGTTTGTCCGAATCTTCAAGCTATTTTTAGAATCTGTGCGCTGCGCTATTGGAATATAAAGAAAAATCTTTAACCAGTGATTGATAGACCCTTAAAGATGATTCCAGTGCAGTTTCATCCGAATTAAATCTCATATACGATTTTCGTACTAGTTTCGCTTTAAGGAACTAACAAAAGAGTTGTTATGAGCCTCGTATGCAGGAACAAATGTTTAAAAAAAATTTTGGATCATCAATGTATGTAATATTGAATTCTCATCGTGATTTAACTGATTAAGCGTTCTTATTTAAATAAGGTACTGATTTTCTTGGTGACATGGTCGAAACTATGACAGGAAGGAGGCCAAGAAAATTTTTCGTTCTGTGTTGGAAATACATCTCGCCAATCTTTACCCTCGTAAGTATTCAAGATTTATGATTGAGGGAAGCTTTAATAAGAAAATGGTTAATAAGAAAATGGTTAATGAGAAAAGTCACTATTTGGAATCATTAATTCCCCCTATCCCCCCTCCCTCTCCCTCCCTCCACACTCCTCCCCCTCCCCCCCTTCCCCTCGGATTCTTCTCTGACAGCAAACAGGACGTCCAACACTGACAATTAGGGGGCTGGTTATTTTTCATCGACTGTCGACTGTCGACGAAATGGTTTTTAGACAACTGGGGGATCATCTATGTATTGACATGTATTGACATGTATCCAGGGGTAGATCGTACAGTAGCAGCCACTTATAAGGGCCATCACATAAAAAAGATAGTATTTCATGTGGGGGTGAGTTAATCTTCATAACAAGAATTCCCCCCTCCCCCACCCCCGTAAGCGATGAACCGGTCCCTGAAAGCGCGCGCATAATAATGAAAATCACCAAACAGTTTTACTGATTTTTGCTCTTTAATTCGCACTCCCCCCCCCCCCCCCCTCCCCCCAAATTTAAACGTTCTGTCTTATTTCTATAAAGGGACTTATCATTGCGCAACTTACCATGTGGAGCGGAGTTAGTTACAACAAGAAGCCGTACCCAGACTGGGCTGAGTTCATTGGTTGGTTACTCGCTTTCGCTTCAATGACTTTTATCCCGGTCTTCGCAGTTCTGCAGTTCTACTATGCCGAAGGCGCTACTTTCACTGAGGTTAGGTCTTTTTGTTAATAATATTTGACATATTTATATTTTACATATTTTACTAGGTTTTCTATTGAAACTGATCTATTTTTTTGTTTTACACAGAAATTTCGCAATGGTATTAAGCCTGACTCCAATGCCTTTAAGAAGGTCGAATTACGAAACTGCGAAAGCCAACGGCTAAAGTAATGTTTGACAAACCAGTTGTTTTATTGTGCTAACGCTAGGCTTTAATACATCTTTATAACCAGCTAACTGATCTGCGAAAAGAAGTTAGCCAATCAAAATCAAGAAAATTTTCAAATATGTGGTGTCCTTTTTCTCTCTTGAAATTAAAACAAAACAAAAAAAAAAAAAAAAAAAAAAAAAAAAACCACAAAAAAAAAAACCGTTGCTAATAATCGCTTGATAACAGTGACAATAATTTTATGAATGGCGGGCTTGTTTTTATTTTTTGCTACTATAAATTATATAAAAAAGATAATTTATGTTAAATTATGCAAAGGTAAAGTTTCTTAATTTTAATAATTGTATCATCACTTTATAATATAAGCATGCGCAACTATTGTAATATTTTCAAATTCTCTTTCCTGTCCAAAGTAAAGATTATAATATAATTTGGATCGTTTCCATTCGCATTCTTTCGAGGGAAAACTTATGACTTATGGAATCAGTCTAGTATAGTTTGGGATGATATAATTAATCTGCAATAGGACTACGTGTCTATCCAATTCGGAAATAACTGAATTCAAAAAATTCCTCTGACTGACCTATCGGCCTCTTCCAATTTTATCAATCCTCGGAATTTTTTTCATCCAATTATTACAGCATGTAGTCTACCTATACTTATCGACCTAAAAAAGACCTCTTACCGTGTCGTCAGCACACCCGGGCATGATGATTCGTGCATCAACCATCAAATGGGAAATTTATTTCGGACGGCACTTACATCAGAGGGTGCCAATGGGGGTCCTCAATTGTCAGTTAACTAATAATTTTTCGGCCGAATGTCAGTTAACTGCGCTGGACATAATATTAACCAAAATAATGAAATATCAGTTAACTGTTGTTTATCCGGCCCATTGGCCCTCTTAACATAGGTCTTGACTTTGCTTAAAGATTGTGCATGAGAAGACACGTTCATTTTTTTAAATAAATGAGCCCTAAAACGTTTATGAAAAACAGTCGCAAGCCGATTCAGCCATTCGACATGACGCTACTTCGGTATCCAGTATACCGTACGTTTATATAATGACCGAGAAATATAAAAATAAACTCACTTTGTACTTGAAGTTAGAGTGCATACCATATGTACGTGAAAACTTTGTAAGAAATGGCACAGATTTGCCACTTTAATAAATTCACTAGACCTCAGTAGTAATTTGTACAATTTTGTTAGCAAACTTTTTCACGAATAATGTTATTCGATCTGCATGCTTGGAGGCGACGCAATGATAGTTCTGTCTAACATGCGCAATAAATAAAACTGTGACTTCATAATCTTTTTCAATAATGCGGTAGAACTGACTTGTGCCACGTTTGCGCAATGCCGTTGCACACGCGTATTTTCATGTGTGAATAACTAGTTTGACCCCACATCATCAGTCAATCACGCACACCAACTGTTTGTTAAGTGGTCGGTCTGGCCGACCAACATCATAATATTGGAAGCTAATTCGACCCCCCCCCCCCCCCCCCCCCCCCCTCTTCCACCTGATATGAGGGTATATGGTTAATAGAATATTAGATTTTCCCAATTATAACATTTTTATGAAAAGGACAGGAAAGTGCAATGGGGAATTTGGCGCAGCTTGGCGGTATATACGTTTGGTGTTAACTGGTTCTAGTCGATCACTTTGAACGATAACAATATATATCCTAGCAGCACCGATCAGTTCTGTATGTATAACATTTTGTATACGTGTACAGCAARCGAATATTCTCTTGATGTACAGTTATTTCGAACATTGCTTTTGGTAAAGGTTTTGTTGCACGYAGCATGTTGCATATCAAGGCCCAACTTCACTATGAGCGATGTCAATGCCATCATTATCCCGATTGACAATATCGTTACAGAAAATTTGACTCAAAGTTAATTAGTCCTTGTAGCGATGGAATGCCGGATACTTCCCCTTCCACCCTTCCCCCTGATAATCACTGGCACCCCTTTTGAATTTGTTATGGCGTCAATGGGCCACGAGGAGATGATTTTTCATTGGAATGAAAGAAAAAAAAACCAAATAAATAAATAAATAAAAATAAAAAAACGTAAAAAAATAATTATTATTAATACATTTTTAGAGCGATGGTACTTAATCCGTGAAATAGAAAATAGTTATTAACTAATAGTCGCAATAATTTAGTGGATATTACTCAAGTGAATCAATCTATATATGAATACGCAGGAGACATCAAATACACAAGAAACATGTTAGTCATTTGTTCATCAATACTTTGACTATCAATGACTACATTTTTCTTGTGTATTTGATGTCTCCTGTGTATTCATATATAGATTGATTCACTTGATCGAGTAATATCGAATAATTGTTTTAGGCACTAAATTGYGACTATTAGTTAATAACTATTTTGTTTCTATTTCACGGATTAAGTACCATCGCTCTAATACTGAGGAAAAATGAAAATTTTCTTATGGCGTCAATGGGCCACCATAAGATAACGAAACTCTGTACCAATTTTGGTGCTTTTTTCCGGATTGTAACGATCTTTGCATTTAGCATCCTCAATATATCGAAAGGTCAAAACGACATAAAAATTCACTAAAATTTGTCTACGTTTTCCGGTGTATTTTCTTTTGCGCTGACATAATTTACATATGAACATATCAAGCTTAGTGGCAATATACGAGAAAAACTTCGCCAACCTTTTTTGAAATACCTGTATGCAAGAGGCCATAAAGGACAGAGTGACTCTCTCGATATTCCCGAAAAGTTATTTTCAGATTGAGCGTACTCCTTAGGAATACTAGGCGTACGATTTTTTTCGAATAGCACATTTCCATGTGGACGGAACCCCTACTGTAATGACTTGTCACCGGTTAAAAATGTATCTGCTACCGGGTACCCGTGTACGTACGTAAACGAAGCCTCTATGTTTCTTTATTTTTATTTTCTATTCTATTCCTGACATCTTTTTATCATTATCATTATTTATTATTATTATTGATGCTGAAGTTGTCTTGAGAGTAATCTTGATAAGTCAAAGAAAAKAAAATAGACATAAAAATCTTTAATACAATATTTGAGTGACTTCACTTACAATCGAAGAATTGTATGAATGGGAAACGATACGGAAAATTCGTAGTCGTAGTTTTTGCTAACGTAGCCGTAACTACGCGTTGTGGTTGGATAAATAAGTGAAAGCTATTTCAACGTTACAACCAGTCAAGTCGTATGAGCACGACCATAGGTTATTTTCCGCCATTATCCAAAAACYCCGATCTACAGTAGTTTTACTCAAAAATACGTCAGTCCCATRATTCATGTTATATCCAATGTGATTGGCTAAAGTTTTTTAGGTGGGAGGTACCGGTAATTTATCATCCAATCAGAGACACGCTTCTAATGTATCTATGTGAACCAGTTTGACATGTTTGACAAGGTCTGACAGTTGCATAAAAAGAACGGTCTAGCGTCCGAAGGTTAGATTTGAAGGCTTCACAACGTAGGAGGTTTGTGTTCTGGAATAAAAGATATTGTACGTACATTAAACACAATGGAAGCCAAAACTCAAAAAGATGTACAACCAGTACTTTTAGTCAAAGTGACTCCAAGTACGACTCCTCTTTTTGACGAAGTAGAGATGTCAGCCAAAACTAAATCGGGAAAAGACGTTGAAGCGGGTCAAACCCAAAGCACCCCAAGCGTTTCGGTCGAAAGTCGTGAAAAATGGCAATCCAAATCAGACTTTTTGCTCTCTTGCATTGGATATGCAGTTGGTTTGGGAAATATCTGGCGATTTCCATACCTGTGTTACTCGAATGGAGGAGGTAGGCTCGTTAKTTTTCTTTGAGATTTTTCACTAGCCGCCTACATAAAGCTCAGTAATAGAGAGAATTTCCGGCCGCATGGGGAGTGACCGACTTTCTTCTAACCAGAAATTCCTGTTCTTTTATTTAAGTCTAGATCATACCGTCCTAGACCTTTTCTTATAAACCATCTAAAGTCTGGATATGGGACACTCGTTTGACATGTGAAATCGAACCACATGTAAAACATRAAATCTTAATTAAATATTTACTGGATACTAGTCGAGATTGTAGCCTTGCATTAACAATCTATTCTATAACTCTTGGGGGGGAAATGTGGTTAATGGGAAAAAATATAAAGCTTGTTGTTAAATACTTTTAAAAAGTGTAAAGAAATAATTTAAGTATAAATAATGCTGGTTACTGTATTAAAATGTATTGTCTCGGATTGAAATCTCTCGCGATTCTTCGCTTCTAAAAAGGAATTAGGCTTCGGGCAATCGAACCACATCATAAGACGAACTAAAGGTCTTTGTGGAACCAAATATGCCTGTACAACCAAACTACAGGAAGTCTAGTTATAGGAATGACTGTCAACTTGTCGAAGACAAATCAAACCCACATGGAAAACAGACCCCACATGAACTTAGTGGGTGATCTATATCCATCATTTCACTCGAAGAAAAGGCTTTTTTGGACAAAAATTTAGACCAATAGRAGACAACTTATGTTTTAATGCTTTATCCTAGTTATTGATTAAGTTAAACCAGAAAAGTATTTTTAATTTTAATTCTTTTACCTCTATTTATATGAAGACGGATTTTTTAATTGACTTAGAAGCAGCATTTTCCCGCCAAAATTAACATGCAGCGGACGTGAATTTCTTCGTTGTTCAGTAGCATCCAATTTTGTAAGCAAACAAACGTACGAGTAGTTGTCAGAGTTTATCTTTGAGTACGTGCAGTATTGGATATTTGAAGAATGCAGGTTATGATATTGCGGTCATCTTTCTGACATGTAGAATGACTGTTCTGCAGATATTGGACAACCACTGAGAACGTATCAAAGGTTATCGTCTCTTCTGTTTCTAATGGGCGTTTGGGAGCTTGCAAAGTAAGAAAATCACGCACGTATAACTTTTAAGGGTCAATTATGAATTTGGAGCATCAAAAAGAACGAGCTAAGCTTATGTTTATGTTCATTTGACTTGCAAAATCTTAAGATTTCATTATTTACTTTAAGTATCTATCGATTTGCATACTGATATTTAAACAGTTGTACCAATAATGTAAACACCTTAGAGATTTGTTAGCATAAAATAAGTCACGAATCAGTTATGTAGTATAGTCAATTTTACCGTGTAGGATTGAACATGTTGGTCACTTAAATCATGTTAAACTTCAGGTCTGCCTGTTCTACATTTATAAAGGCAAAGCTAAGGTCAAGATATGTAAATACAATTTTTACAGTTTTGTTACTATAGATATTTCAGCAAATGTGCCGTTACTCATGTACTACCACTAAAGATGTGACTGCTTTCTCATGGGAGGCTAGAGAATTAGTAGGGAAGGAGGGTGCTTTTGTTACAAGAAAGTTAAGGAAGGGGGTTCAAAATAACTTTGCTTTGAGGGTAGGGGTCCAAAGGTAAAATGATGCAATGCTCAAAGATACAAAATAAATACTCCAACCATGAACGCTCAAGTTTATTTTATTTTCATTTTCATTTGACATGTGAATATCCTTAGTATTTCTTCTTCCTTTTTCATAATTTCATCTTCTTGAATAGCTTTTATAGACTTTCAATACATGTAACTTGAATTCTGTTGAAGTTGTCGATTAGTAAACTGATTGGTTGACAAACTCAAGTGTTCATTGGTTWGAATAGAAAGACAGTAACTCATAATTTTTCTTTATTTCTTATTACCTTAGCAACATTTCTCATTCCTTACTTTCTGATGTTGGCCATCAATGGTGTTCCATTGTTCTACATGGAGCTTGCCATTGGTCAATATCTCAGTCTTGGACCAATTGGTGTATGGACTGCTATCTGCCCCATGTCAAGAGGTTAGTGTATGCATGTTTTTAATCCAGTCGCAACACTTTAGTAGCATGGTTATAATCAAAAAAAGATATTGATTTTGCTCCAGTATGAATCTGGGGTGCTTACCATTTAATGCCAATCCATCCAGTTGGAAACTACATTGTAATTTGTTAAATTAATGGTAAGAAAAGAGTGGGGAATTTGACTTCACAAAAAGTGGATTACCATTATGAAAAGACTAAGTTTTCAGGAACTTTCCAATCACAATGACCCATACCATTAATTTCTTTTTCAAACCAGAATTCTGTTTTTCCTGGTAAATGGTAAGCACTCCTGATGTATCGTTTTCAACCTATAGAGAAACTGCTTTTTATTATTGTTTCCTTTGTTCTTAGGTATTGGGTATGCAATGGTTATGATTTCATTTCTTGTGAGTATTTACTACAATGTAATCATTGCATGGTGCTTGTTGTTCTTGTACAATTCTTTCCGTGCTGAAGTACCTTGGAAAAATTGTGGGAATCCTTGGAATACAGATCTGTGCAGGTTGGTTATGTAATGATCTGAGAAAGGCATATGCAGCTGTTTTGATTATCCAATAATGACAGAGAAACACTTACGCAGGGAGAGAGGTGAAATGGGTGGCACATGCCCCCCTTAAAATTTGCTCTTGGCACCAAAATTTAATTCATTCATGCAGGATGCCTGTGGTTTTGACAAAAAAAATTTGTAAATTGTACATTGTCCCCCCCCCCCCCCCCCACCCATAATCAAGACCCCTACACCCCTGCAGAGAAATTGCAAGAGAACAAATGACACTCCTCTACTGTCTTTTAAAAGAAAAGTTGAAATTTTGATGGAGTTTGTGTGGATTTGTATCATTTAGATAAGTGGATTATAATATGGGGCATTTTTTCCTTTTAGAGCTAAACAACGATATGGAAACGTATCAACCAACTGCACGGCTCTGGGATTGGCACCTAACTGCACACCAATCTTCAAATCACCTCCAGAGGAATTTTTCAAGTGAGTCTGTTTAAAATTTAATTAGGTTAATTAGTATATTATGTAATAGGACTCCATGCTGTCCAATTGATAAAAAAATGGAGGAGGAAAATTCTGAGGACTGATAAAATTGGATGAGGCTGTAGGCTGAGTCCAATTTGGCAGTCAGAGGAATTTTTCAAGTCTAATTATTTCTTGTTTAAGGAGCATGAAATCCCATTATCTATTAATTATATAGCTGCCTAATTAATCCCATATCAACAAGACCTGTCCAATTAAGAAAATAATTGGACAGTTACCTATATGGGATTAATGTGAACCTCCTCCAATTTTGTCAGTCCTCGGAATTTTCCTCGTCCAATTATTTCTTAATTGGACAGCATGGAGTCCTATTACATGTACTAATTGGGTAAACTGATGAATTAATTATTTACTTGATTAATTAACTAATTGAGGGTAAAGTAAAAATACTCATCTTATTCAGATTTGGCAGCACAGACGTTATAACTACTTGTTGTGTGAGATTGGCTTCCTTCGTGTGTTCTTTAGCTTGTCCTTCATATTTATCAAACCCTGAAATGAATCCCCTGAAACAACATCTTGTTGATTAAAGTCAGGAAATGGCTGAATCACCGATCAAACCTTGAAACAACCTCTGGGTTGATCTAAGTCCTAGGGCATGGCTAACTCACAGATTGAACCCTAAACCAATCTCGGGAATGGCCTTTTTACACACTGGATATCCATCACTAATATTTTATGTAGTAACACTCGTCAGATGTAGCATTATACTAATCTGTGTATCTGTATGATTTTTCAGCAATAAAATTCTTCATATCAATGAGAGTATCAATGATCTTGGTGAGATCCGCTGGGATTTGGTTGTTTGTCTGATCATAGCATGGCTTATGGTGTATTTTTGTTTAGTGAAAGGAGTCAAGTCTTCAGGAAAAGTAAGCCACAAAATTTATGCATTACTGAAAGTTATTTGTAACATGATAATGGACGGCACCACAGGTGACCCGATTCTACCTTAAGTCGAATGTGTTCCAGAAATTGATACTCATCCCCCTCACACAGGGTTTTTTTAAAGACCCCCATCCCCTGAAATTCTAATTTTCTTCCATACAAATTCTAATTTTGTTCTTTCTCTGACCCCACCCCTCAGAAATTCCAAATTCCTCTGGGGGGAGGGGGAGAGGCATGGATAATTTCTGGAACTACAAGATTAGCATTTTGCACCTAGTTATTGAAAGTTTAATGTGGTATATATCATTACATATCATACTGTATATTTCGTTTTCTTCAGGTGGTCTACTTCACTGCAACATTCCCTTACATCATTCTTGTTATTCTGTTCTTCCGTGGTGTTACTCTTGAAGGGGCTATTGATGGCGTCTTGTTTTACATCAAGCCTGATTTGAAGAAACTTGCCAATCCAGAGGTATATACAATATATATATTAGAGTATTATCACTAATGCTACTATTAATAATAATAATAATAATAATAGAAGAAAAACTATTTATGAGGAGCTTAGTCATCAGCAAAATTTATATATGCAAATCGACTGAGAGCTGTTTGAATGGGCCTTCAGTCAATTGCCTTATTTCACTATGGCGTCACATCAAAATAATCTATTGTTTAAACACAAAGGATCATGGTCGTCGGAGGGGGTCAAATCAATGTCAAAACCAAATCAACCCACGAAGAGAAGTAGAATAAGGCCTAAGCTCTTCATGTATAGCACTAAATCATTAATATATTGTTTGAAGTCCTTACATTGTGTCTGGCCATGGGGTGTTAAACATATTAACTTCCTCAAATAGCAGAGATCATCAACAATAACTTTTTTTCTTAGGTGTGGGTTCGTGCAGCCACCCAAATCTTTTACTCTCTTGGTATTGGTTTTGGATCTCTTGTCACATTCGGCAGCTACAACAAATTCCATAACAACTGTCAAAGGTGAGAGCAAAGATGAATAGTGACATTTTTGAGTTCCTAAATTACTGCTGTGTTCCTTGATTACAGACTCATTTACACAGGGTTAGCCTCCTATTGGTGTCTAAATATTCACAAATACCAACGGTAAAGTAAAGAATACACAACTTTAACAATACAAACACTTTGAAATTCCACAGACTTTCACAGTAATATGTGAATATTCTAGCCAACATTGAGGGTAACCCTGTACTGGAACAGAGAACTCAAAACTGGATCATTGTTAGTATTTTTGATTGCTTTTCAGGTGCTTCTCATGTATGCTAGGGTCATATAAAAATCAGTAGATCACAGCATCCATTTTTTTCTCTTTGTGCATCGTCTATCAAAACCTCTTGCAATTAATATATTTTTTTAATGCACCTTTTCTTTTTTTACTACCTTTGATATTTTGGCCCTAACAAATATATGCCATCAGAAGCTTTCAGTACTATCCATTTTCATTAAATGTGTGACTTCTGTTTTGGGTGACTTTTGGGTGTTTTATTCTTGCAGTGATGCATTACTGGTTACTCTAATCAACTGTGGCACAAGTTTCTTTGCTGGTTTTGTTATCTTCAGTGTCATGGGTTTCATGGCGTTCACACTGGGAACAACTGTTGATCAAGTGGTTGCAAGTGGTAAGAAAATATTTCAAATACACCTCTTTACCTTTGGCGTACCTTTTCTATTGATTGGTGGCAATTTTCGTGCCAAAAAGGGTTTGCACCCCCCTACAACTGTGGTGCTCTTGCTACGTCACTGTGCACCTACTTACAGAAGTCTGTTTAATTTTTCAAATGTTTGTAACTATATCCTTATTATGCCTTATCATTCAACCCCTAGGTCCTGGCCTAACCTTCGTTGCATACCCAGAAGCCATTGCACAGATGCCAGTGTCGACCTTATGGGCAATCATGTTCTTCTTTATGCTATTGACTCTTGGTCTTGACAGCCAGGTAAATTATGCAGCTAAAGTTTATGCTATTAGCATTCCATTGCGTGCGGTCTCTTCACTTTTGGTAACTTGTTGTTTGTATACAAAGTTCAAAAAGTCACAAACAATATTGTAATAAGAAGAGATAACTAGCTAAAAACTAGTGTGCGCTGCGTCAGTGTTTCTAATGAAACAGTAATGATAAAAAGGTAAATTATACACTATGAAAAGATGAAAAAACTTACTGTTGTTTCGGACTCTAGTCCTTTTGTCGAAGTAAAAGAGCTAAAAAAATTGTTGTTCATTTTTGAAAAAGTTTACTCAGAGATTAACATCTTTTTCCTCGATAATTTTCTGGTTGTGGATTGTTAACTATTATTGTCTTGTTTTCCGATGATTCACTCTGGTTTCTTGATTCTTTTACTTCAAACTAGTTTGCTATGGTTGAATGTGTGGTCACAGGACTATCAGATGAATATCCTAAGTACCTGCAGAAATATAAGTGGTTGGCTCTCTTGGTAGCATGCTTAGTTATGCTTTTTCTTGCCATTCCTATGTGTGCAGAGGTAAGAATGAAAAAGATTAGGATCAAGAAAATCAAGGGTGGTGTTCCTTAATTATTACACTCACCTCTGGGGTCATCATGTGTGAATAGATCTGCTTGAGCTCTGATATGTTTTGAGGGTTTTTCTCCATGCAGCTTCTATGGTTTTTTTCCTTCCACAAAAACCAGCACACTAAATTCCAATTTGATTAGTGAGTTAGCTGTGCCTTAATACCTTGATTTTGATTACAGCCATTCTCAATCACCCGCTCCCCTCTAGCTATCGTTTCTGTCAATGAAGCTTTTGGTGGWGACATTCTGTAGGCACGTGCCCTCATAGCATTGTGTTTTCCGACATTGTTATGGAAACGCCTTGTGAGTGACATCCACCAAAACCTTCTTCATCAGGACAGAAGCAATCAGTAGAGGGCGCATTTGATTGAGAATGGGTGTAATAGCCCAGAGGTTGATTCAGGGTTGGATCTCTCTGAGTTATTAATTTTTAGTTTCTAGCCTAATGCCATAACTTAGTGTAGCAGTAAAATTTGAAGACTCCTCCACTTGTAACTTCTTATTTAAGTCTCCTAGTGTGGATAGATAAATCTACCCTATGTACTATATTAATGAAACTACATGTTAATGCTTTTCTGTACACCAGGGTGGCATGTATGTGTTCAACCTGTTTGACTACCAGTCAGGAGGCATCTCTCTTCTTTTCGTTGGATTCTGTGAAGTGGCATTCATTGGTTGGGGAGTTGGTAAGTTAAAAAGATAAAATAATGCTAGGGAATAGGAGAAAAAATGCAGATAAACATTTGGTTGTGTCCTCTCCCTCCCTTCCTCCCCCGCTTCCTCCCCCGCTTCCTCCCTTCCTTCCCTCCTTCCTTCCTCCATCCTTCCTTCCTCCTTCCTTCCTTCCTTCCTTCCTTCCTTCCTTCCTTCCTTCCTTCCTTCCTTCCYTCCTTCCCTCCCTATCTGTCAATCATTTAGCCAGCCAGCCATCCAGTCAGTTGGTCAGCCAGCGAGCCAGCCATTCATTCGGTCAGACCATTAGTCAGTCAGTCAGTCAGTCAGCCCATCAGTCCATCAGTTGGTCAGTAAGTCGTCCATTAAATTAGCCAGCCAATCAGTCAGTGGGTAGGCCAGTAACTAATTCACTTATTCATTTTGTTTTTGTTTTTGTTTTTGTTTTATAGGTACTGAAAGATTAAGCATGATCATTGAAAACATGATTGGTAAAAAGCCAAACTATTACTTCATCATTTGCTGGAAGTTTCTTTCTCCTGTCGTTTGCCTGGTGAGATCATCATTTATTGAATAATATAGTATGTTTTTGTACCTTGTACAACTTTGTATATGATCTTTTTTTCAACATTTTCGAGCTGATCATAATATAATAAGTTTTTGTACTTTGTACAACTTTGTATATGATCCTTTTTTTTCAACATTTTTCATCTGACTATAATATAGTATGTTTTTGTACTTTGTACAACTTTGTAAATGATCTTTTTTTACCATTTTTCAGCTGATTATTATTGCACAAATTGTCATGTGGTCTGGAATCAGCTACAACAAACAACCTTACCCCCAGTGGGCTGAGTGTGTTGGTTGGCTTCTTGCTTTTCTTTCTATGGCCTTTATTCCTGTTATTGCTATAATGCAGTTATACAAAGCCAAGGGAGCCACTTTCACAGAGGTAATCAGAATTGAAACATGCTTTACTGCACGTACGGGAAACCTTGTATTGTGAACTTTAAAGACTAGTATTGCAACTTGTTTTTTGTTTTGTTTGCTGCGTAGAAATGGAGAAATGCTCTTTCTCCTGACCCTACTGTGTTTCGTGGAGTAGAAGAAAAACAAGGTGTTCATTGTGACAATGAAAAATTGTAAATAAGGTAAGAAATATGATTTTTAATGTTATTAAAACTTCATAATATATAGAGGCTTTGCCCCATCACGTGATGGAAGCCATGACAGGAGTCAACAATAGCATCGTTCTCTCCTGGGAAAGTAAAATTCTTTCTCATGTAAATCACATTAGACCAGATTCAATATTATTCCTGCCTCCTGTTATGGCTGCCATCACGTTATGGTGTATTAAAGCCTCTATAAGGGAATGCAATAGATATATCCTTGGACTGTTTTCATATGAGTGAGAAACACATATGGTACTAAATTTCAGCAAGTACACGATGCAATATGCTGTAACATTGAAATGGCTTCACTTAAAAATAGTTATCATATAACTGTACAGCCGATGCCATAACATTAAAATGGCTTCCCATGAGAATGTTAACTGACTTCTCTACATGGTGTGTGAGATGCTGTTACATTGAAATGGCTTCCCATTGTCTTCCCGGTAAATTACCCAATCACAACGAGTTACAGTTACCATGTAGTTACGGTTACAGTATGACTACGAATTCACTTTATGGTTTCACACTCATATAAATGCCGCTCTATAATTTTTTATGATGGTTTCATTTAGGATAACCGAATTTTTTATTCATTTTTCAGAGCTTTAAAAGCCATGTAAAGTAAACTCACAGATGCTACGACGTTTTGAGAGACCACAGCCAACCAAAGCTGAGTGACAAAGTATATTCATTATTTTAGAACAGCTAAATAATGAATGATTATATTTATTATTTCATTCTAATTATAATGTATTTGTTCTATTTTTTCTAGAAAAGAATTAAGACTTTTAATTTATGGCAACTAATTATTCTAGAAAGCCATTTTACCGTTGCAAATTATCGTATTAATGTTTCAATAATGGAAAGCCATTTATATGTTCTTGGAAACCATTTTGCTTAACTTATGTTAACGTTTATCATAATAAAATTAATCTTACAATAACAGAAAGCCATCTATATGTTCTTAAACTATTTCAGTTTGCGGTTGCACTCCGACTGTCATTTCCAATATTTTTTAAGTTGAATTTTGCTAGTTTTGAAGTCTGCCAAAACTAACGTATTTTTGTACTAACGCATTTTGTTTCAATTTTTTAACTATTTAATCTTTTGAGGAAATTATTTTTGTGAAGCAAGCTTGTGCGCAATCTAATTCTGCCCTAGGAAATGATTACTTATGCAATCTCTAAAAAAAATAGCTGACCTAAAAAAGAGTCTAAAAGTGTGAAAATCAGTCTGTGGTCTTAAAAATAGGTGTGCATCGATTGCGAAAAACTAGCACATTAAGAGAAATATACCCTTTTTTCGTAGTTCTGTATGCTTTTTGGTCAAACATCGGCGCAAATTTTACCATTCTCTGATTATTTTTCAGTTTTTAGCTTTATAGATCTCAAAAACAAATTAGAATATCTCCGGTTGAAAATGAAAGTTATAGGCAGTCTTTTTGGCTGTTATGGCTTAATCACATGTCAGTTCATGTTCAGGTTTTTGAAAAGACAAAAAAATCACRGATCAAAGAAAATGTAAGTGAATTTTTGAATCAATTTCAATCCATAACTGAAACATCCAACATGTAAAGGAAGTTAGTACTCATGTAATTACCAAATGACGTGCGTGTTTATAGTATATATAAATATATACAATTTTATTTAAAAATCTGATATGTGAAATATATAATATAATTTATGATTTTATTAGGAAAAAAATATTTAGAGTTAATTAAAAACTATTATTTTTTATGATAATTTGAAGATATTGTTATTATTAAAATGGATTGGATCCTGGACAATTGTCTTGATATTTTTTTCTTGTCACTCAGATTATTGATAACAACTTTATTAGATAACTCTCAGAGGGATTCTGAGGTTGTGTGAAAGCCTGGGCTGATTTGACATTGTAGTGCGTTGTGGGGCTGTCATGAGGATGAAATGTCGCCATCTTGAAAGAATGGCCCTCAAAACAGTCCACAATGCAATGTAATGCCAGCTTGACCCAGTCTTTCCTCAACCTCGGAAAGGCTAATGACTTGGAAGTATGGGCCATAAATGAGTGATTTTAGCGAAAATATCATTTTGAAATGATTGCACGATTGGATTATTGATTATTGATTATTGATTATGACATCCTGAAACCCTAATCCAAACCCTAACCCTAACCCAAATCCAAAAAAACTTGACCTTAGACTTGATTACGGAATAGTGCCATTTCAAGTAGTCTTACATGAAGTAGTAAGGCACGAATAAGTGATTTTAGCGGAAATATCGCTTTGACTGAAATGATTGGACTATTGATGAACATAGAATGGCCTTTATAGCTCAGAGCCTCGTGGTTTCGTTATGCATTTAAACCTTTAAATTTTATTGGTACTCTAAAACAACCTCTTGTCTGATCAAAGTCAGGGCATGACGCCTAAATCATCGATCAAATTGGAATATTTTAACGTGTTAGGGAAGAAAACTGAAGCATGCGCATTTGACAAAGTTGATATGGAAGTGACTCGAGTGTTGGTACTTAATCAAAGAGGATAAAAGAAATTTGATTAATAATCCTTATATCAAATTGTCATACTGCGCACGGAAATATTTTATACATTTAAAGAGGCACTTGGATGAAAACGCCCCGATTTTTGAAAGTCCAAATAACTGAAGTATTCGAGGATAATATGACTCAATTATGATTATGAAAATCAGATTAGTGAAAATTTTAGCCTGGGAACCACTTGAAGATGAGAAATTTTGGGTCAAAAGCGAAAAGAACAATAGGGTTGAGTCAATGACGTCATTTACTCACAATTTAGATGCTGAATAAAATTRATAATTTTTTCACCGCCACTTTTGACTGTGAAGGAAACATGTTACCTGGTTAGTATCTGGGTCATATAGATACGTTTAACCAAGTTTAAAGTCATTTCTAATTTTCATTGATTTTCATCCAAGTTCCCCTTTAACATTAGAAAGTGACTTTCGAAAGTGAAGAGTTGAGTGAATTAATAAAGCCTTAATTTCAAAGCGACCTTGATTTCATGACAACTAAGCCTTAGTTGGTGGTTTGAAAGTGCATTTGAAATCTCCGCAGTTCACAGACATGTTTCCAAATGCGCACACGACATACTAAGTCAGAAATTCAATATTTGATGAAGGATGAACTGAAGGGAACTTGTCATCCTGACGCGCGCTTATAGCTTCCGCAAAAACAGTAAAAGTACATTCACGTGTTACTAAGGAACTGAAACTCTTTCCTGATTAGGGACTGTCCGTTTATTACGTCGCGTGGGGGGGGAGGGGGAGGGGGGAGGATAGTGGTTTAATATTTTTGAATTTGCAAGAAAACACCCACTCAATAAAATTTTACGCCATTCAGTATCAAGTTCACAAGTTTCCCCGTTCCACACATAAAGATCGGCAGCTCCACTGCGACGCACTAAATGAACACTCCCTGCTAATAATAACCAAAATATAATAATGAGAACCGGCCATGAGTTCAAGGACGGAATCCTCATTGATAATTAAAAAACAAGGTCGTTTACGTTTTCACAGAATTCACACTCTTTGTTTGAAAACTTAGAAAATTATCAATACAGAATATATTTGTAACATATACTCGTCAGAATAACGGAGCTAATCTAGCTGAGTAACTATACTTGCGCAAGTTTCGTTCTAAGTCGCACGATACGAACAGTAATGACTGGCACTTCAAGTGATTTGACAATCAATCACGTGACTTTTTGGAGTTGACTGGGGGGGGGGGGCAACTAGCGGATGCTAAGTCAAAACATCAAAATAAGTCCTCAAACTATTGTATTTGACTATTTTCACGACATAAAACCAGAAAACAACAGATCAAAAACAACCTCCAGGATTCTACAAGCCATCAAAAAAGAGCTATTACCGGAAGTGACGTCTATTGATTGATTGACGGTTGGAAGGTCGGCTGAGGTAATGCTATGACTATCTAGGTGATCAATTGTACGTCTAACAATTAGTCTTAGTACGTGCTGGGAATCAACGCCTTTTTTCCCATTCAACCCTAACCACCATGGTTAGCATCTGTTTTGAACGTTTCTTTTGTATGTATTTATAGATTATTTTGTTTTGTTAGGAACCAACAAACTTTCTATGCTTGCAAGCAAAGCTCCATTTTAATTTCATGCTTTCATAAATTTGGACCCGACGTTTATATACCTTTTAGTCATGATCAGGTGGTGCTTCCACTGCGACAGCAGTTCGTTATTTTCATGCCTTTTAGTTATAAATTTCTATCGTGCAAAAAAGGCCTGTTTTAGTTTTTTTTTTTCTTAGTTTTTTATGCTGCATCTTGTTCTCAATACAAGTAACTTATTTATACGTGGGCCAGGCTGCATTGCATCACCGAGTTAAGCCTATGTGTACCGGGTAGAAATGCGCAAGCTGTCAACAGAAGCGCAATAGTAGCTACGAATCATTCAAATGGAATTTCGACCTTTCGTTCGGTGCGCACATCAAGGCCGTGGGCGTCTCAGTACTGTGGTCCTGGACTGGCTTAACGTTAACTATATCTCGATATTTTCACCTAAGCTGCTATGCTTTTGTTTGTTGTTAAAAGGTTGGTTTGTTTGTTTGTTTTCTTCTCCTTCATTTTCGAACCGTCATTTTCACTGGACAAATTTTCGTGCCCGTTGTAAAAAAAATCTTTTTGTTTTTCCGTGACTTCCTATTTGCCTCACGCACTTTTCGTTTTCAATCTTTTGTTTCATAATCGGATCAAAACCTGGTATGAGATAAAAAATAACCACAGGCCAATAAGTTATTTTTATTGGTTTAGAGCCAATATAGTGAGCTCCCCTTACTGCGCATATCTAGTGACTGTTATAGTGTGATGCCAAGAATGATAAAGTTCAAT